ATTACTCTGTAGAAAAAACTCGTGGTTAAATCTTATTTCGAGAAGAGAATTAAAAAATTTAGAAAAGACAGAATTGAAGAAGTATTCAGACCCAGTTCTTTTAGAATTTTCTTCCAAAAAAATTCTCTGTCAAATCAGCGATCGACACATAATTAATTATATTTTTCTCTTGGGATGCCTACTGAAAATTGCATATGCATTTGACGAAATGTACCAGCACCAGCAAGCAGAATTCTTTGTCAAAATATCAGATGAAAAACAGGATTAGATCGCCGTTGATTTTCGTCCCATTGTTTTCTGTCCCTAGTTTCACATCAGACGCAATTTATGGTGTTTCATTTCACACGTTGATGAGTGAATGCAAATAAAAGTTTCAACCTTGGTTAACTTGACGTAGCTTAAAATCTCTTTTCATCCCATTTCAATGAATATAAAACAGTATTTCATTTTTCGTTGCTACATTTGTAAAATTGAAAAAAAACAAAGCGTTGTTTTCGAGGTCAAACAAATGGCACGTTTTATGTTTCCCTACACGCCTGGAATAAGGGTAGTACTTTACAGACATACAAACTAGTACGAAAGTAAATCTGCAGTTTCCCTTATATGACCATTGGTCTTCTGGTGATGAAAAATTGAGAAGAAGTCTCCAAATCATTCAATAAAATTAATTTTCTCAATTTCAAGACACAGAAAATAACAGCAAAAAATCTGCACAAAAATCCGATTTTTGGCACAAATCAAAGACCAAGCCCAAGTCTTTCTATTCCCTGCTCAGATGATGGAAATAACTATGAACATTTTTTTCATTATTAGCCAGTTTTGGATTATGAATTACAGTACAAGTGGTACCTTGCAATTCAACCCTAATCCGTTGCCAAACTAGGGTCAAATCGCAAATTGGTGAAATTGTGAGACATTCCATAAAATTCAAAATGTAAGTACAAAAATGCCAAAAAATTAAAATCAGATCAAATTTTGGGGCAAGAATTGAATTGCAATTCAACCTCCCTGCAAATTTGACTGTTGAATTGGGGGATGGTCAAATTACAGCTGAGGTTGAATTTTAAGGTACCACCCGTATACAGTATAGTGAATCATAAAATCAATTTTTAATTTTTGGAATCATAAAAGCTGAATTTCATCAAAATGTTGAGAAATGAATTTTTTCCATTTGTCTAGAAATTTTTTTATGCGTCCGTACCTCGAAAATATTTTTGTCCACATGTCAGGGAAGATTTTTTTTTTTTAATTTCAAGTGTTCTGCAAGTCGAATTTGATGAAGCAGCGGAATAAAAGGAACGAAACGTGGAAACTGAAGTCAGTGGACTATCTCGTGGTCAATGCAGAAGAAGCAGGCCGTTAATGGATATTGTTCCTGCTGGATTGTTTGGGACGTGCTTCTCTATGAAGCAGCGGAATAAAAGGAACGAAACGTGGAAACTGAAGTCAGTGGACTATCTCGTGGTCAATGCAGAAGAAGCAGGCCGTTAATGGATATTGTTCCTGCTGGATTGTTTGGGACGTGCTTCTCCCAGCAGTGTTTGCCATAACCATCGCTCATGGAAGCAGTCGCAGAAGGCGTACTTTTCCGGCGTGGGCCGAATCTCGTTTGCTCATTATGACTTGTGACGCATACTGATGGTCCCTACAGCACAAGGACAGTTCATCACCTTATTATTCCTGGAAATGAGGGAGGAGAGGGCAATAAATGCAGGTTCCATCACTCGCTAGGATCTCTGTTTTCCACGACTGTTTTCTCAGAATATAATGCAAAAGAGTGCAAGACGATGGTCAAAGTTTTTTTGCGAGGATCGATTGCAAACAATTCTTAATTGCACCATCACACTGCACAAGTGCGGTCTCGATTCTGTGGAAGTTCGACATCCGGGATTTATCGAGGAAATTGACAACGACATCTACATGGATACTTCAAAGTAACGAATATATTTTGCATCGGTGGCGTAGCTAGATGTCTATTAATGCCCTGACCACTTCGTCCACAGCTTATTTTTCTCAACTTGCTTGTTTTTTTTCTTCATGCAAGTAGCACTCGAACGTTTAAAAAGCGTGAGTCTGGGATTTAATCACAATGCGAAAAGGAGCAAAAGCGTGAAAATATCGTTTTACACAGGAAACATTTTCAGTATAACTTTGTTCGACTGATGAGAGTTACATTTGGCTTGGAAGCCATCGGATGACTCATTCGGCCTTGTGAAAAGTTTTTTAGAAACTTTCATTGTACTTTGAATCCATTGATGAGGCAATCTTATATTTTTACGTAATATTTTTCAACATCTGTTTTCCACGAATTCTGAAAGTTGACCCAGTGCCAGTAACAAACAAGAACGCGCAGGATTCGCTTGATCAAGCAAGTGTAATACAATCCCTCAACCAGCTGGTTTGCCTATATTCCAGAAAAATACATCCGGCCATTATTTAATGATCCAGCCATGGTTTTGTTTCAGCGGTAGATGTTTCTTGTTCAAATCCCAACAACGCAAAGAAGATAATCAAACGAAAACACAACAAACCACCCACAAGCTCATAAAAATACAAATACAGTATATGAATTCTAGGACCTCAATAATGTTCGAATTTCAAGGTAAAGAAAAACCCGAGAAAACGTTCCTAAAAAAAGGTATTTCAAATCCCATCCAAAATTACAAACACACACACAGTATAGAATGGACTTAGCAAGCCAAAACGCCGTGTATCCCTGATTGCTTAAAAATGAGGATAAGTTGAGCATCTATGTGAGAAATGCGACGAAAAAAATTACAAAAGCACTCGGCCGACTATAGCTTGCAAACCGCAGAATTGATCATGTTCTCAATAAAAGAACATTGTTAATACCACGAACGGCCATTTGGTTCTGGTGTGGGAAAAACTGTTCGACGTGAGTTGATTTTTTTTTTGGGACAAAGCGAAAAAAATATCATTTAGGAAGTTTCTTATAAAAACTTCTACGACAGGCCCAGGCTGAATTGGCTGATTGATGTTCTGCATTATTGCTAAAAATTCAAATCTTTGTTAATTTCTCTGGAGTATGCAATCGCCTTATCACATAAGGGTGTTTATAGGGCATCGGAATCAGCTGACTTAGAAAAAATGTTCATGTATGAAAATGCAACGTTATTTAAGCAATTAACTGCTAGTTAGCTTGAGCTTCGTCAAGACCTTCTTGAGACATCTGTATACTGAAACCCACGATTCAAATCCCCATAAAACAACTGTGGAAGAGAGACGAAGACTTAAATCGATTCTTTTTGCCTCCCAACCGCAAATGATAGTCTTCAATTGGATTTCTAATATTTGCGAACCAGCATTCATCATTTGAAGTTTCAGTTCACTATAAGTGAGGTACTATGCTGGGAATCAATTTCCAAGCAAAATTATCCTGAAGACGGTAACAACTATCCCGACATTTTTTATTGAGAAAATTTTATCCATTGATGAGGCAATCTTTTTTTTACGTAATGTTCTCAACATCTGTTTTCCACGAATTCTGAAAGTTGACCCAGTGCCAGTAACAAACAAGAACGCGCAGGATTCGCTTGATCAAGCAAGTACAGTATAATACAATTCCTCAACCAGCTGGTTTGCCTATATTCCAGAAAAAATACATCCGGCCATTATTTCATGATCCAGCCATGGTTTTGTTTCAACAGCGGTAGATGTTTCTTGTTCAAATCCCAACAACGCAAAGAAGATAATCAAACGAAAAAACAACAAACCACCCACAAGCTCATAAAAATACAAATACAGTATATGAATTCTAGGACCTCAATAATATCCGAATTTCGAGGTAAAGAAAAACCCGAGAAAACGTTCCTAAAAAAAGGTATTTCAAATCCCATCCAAAATTACGAACACACACACAGTATAGAATGGACTTAGCAAGCCAAAACGCCCTGTATCCCTAATTGCTTAAAAATGAGGATAAGTTGAGCATCTATATGAGAAATGCGACGAAAAAAATTACAAAAGCACTTGGCCGACTAGCTTTCAAACCGCAGAATTGATCATGTTCTCAATAAAAGAACATTGTTAATACCACGAACGGCCATTTGGTTCTGGTGTGGGAAAAACTGTTTGACGTGAGTTGATTTTTTTTTTTGGGACAAAGCGAAAAAAATATCATTCAGGAAGTTTCTTATAAAAACTTCTACGACAGGCCCAGGCTGAATTGGCTGATTGATGTTCTGCATTATTGCTAAAAATTCAAATCTTTGTTAATTTATCTGGAGTATGCAATCGCCTTATCACATAGGTGGTTATAGGGCATCGGAATCAGCTGACTTAGAAAAAATGTTTATGTATGAAAATGCAACGTTATTTGAGCAATTAACTGCTAGTTAGCTTGAGCTTCGTCAAGACCTTCTTGAGACATCTGTATACTGAAACCCCCGATTTAAATCCCCATAAAACAACTGTGGAAGAGAGACGAAGACTTAAAACGATTATTATTGACATCCAAACCGCAAATGATAGTCTTCAATTGGATTTCTAATATTTGTGAACCAGCATTCATCATTTGAAGTTTCAGTTCACTATAAGTGAGGTACTATGCTGGGAATCAATTTCCAAGCAAAATTATCCTGAAGACGGTAACAACTATCCCGACATTTTTTATTGAGAAAATTTTGAATGACTATCGACAATATTTTGATGGAGTCCAGCATATAGTCTTCTCTGTCGTGAACTCGTGATGCACATATATAATGCTCGGTAATCATAATCCCAAGCCTCATAGAATGCCGGAAGTTGTCCATAAATGAACCCCATTTCTTAGAAAAGCGCTCCGCAATCAAGAAGACGATCTTGGCCTATGAAGAATCCGAGTAAAGGTCAAGGCTTCCATTGACCTCGGCAATGCTCTTGAGCTTGTTTTCTGTGAATGAAGCTCCGGAAAAGCTTTACAAATGACGTGCTTAATTTTTTTTCCCTCCCTCTATATATTTCTGACGAGACAAGCGGAAACGACTGGAGCCAGGTGCGGAATGCCGGGCGTGTCGAGCTTCCGCTCAGTGACGACTTCCTTTAAACGTCTCGTGTTTGAAACCCAGCACGTGTGTACGCCGAATTCCTCTATGTATTTTTTTTTCTTTTTTGCAGGAAGGAATTTTCTGGTGCATGCTCTCTATAGTTGAATCTAGTGGTGTGCCCAGAGAGAGAGAGGGAGAGAAAAAGAGTGAAATTCCACGCGCGGCGTCTAAAATCCGTTGTCATGAGTGGAGTGGGTTCAGTTCCGCTTCTGCCATGAACTCGGCTTCATCGTGATTTCCTCTTCCTTTTTTTTCTCAAATTACCACAACGATTTCAAAGTCATACACTCAATATCAAGATTTTTCAGTGTGTAGCAAAATTTCAGAGATCGATTTTTGCGCGAAACGCGAGATCTTCCAAACACGTGGTCCGAGATTTTATTTTACCCCTGATGTGAGAAAAGTGTACCTCCTCACAAAGTGGATTATTAATCGAAATTATCATCAATTTGCTGATGCGTTGATGAATGATTGTGTGAAAATTCTTATCTATATGTTCTCGGAAGTGAAAAGTGATATACAGCAATACCGAGGGCCGGTGTCGGAACAAAGTTTATCTTTCTGTCACAAAATGAGTAATAAGAACTGGAAGGCGTCTGTCGACAGAGTGAGTCACCATTTGAACAAGCCCTTATTATAGCGAAGAATCTTGAAAAGTAGAAAGCATGAAATTCCGTTTCGAATATAAATAGTGTGTCAACAACAAGGACGGATGGATGAAAATTCTCTGCTTATTCAGCCTTTAAAACTTTCACGGGAAATTATCCACGAAGGATATTTAGATATCTAGGGTAATCAAGTGCAGCCATTTCACCCGAATTTGTATTTATTTCTGAGTCAACAGATGGCTCATGAAAGAGGACCACGGCAGACTGCTTCCTCATTATGCAAATTGGTTATTGCAGGGGCTGAGAGACTGCAAGATGAACGCGGAATTATCCAACAAAGTCGCTCTCTTCAACCAAGTGGCGGACAATCACAAGGAGAAGCAGATGATAAACCCTTTCTCCTCGTGGGATGGCGCTTCTCACCGCCGCAAACTGGACAAATCAGACGCTTCCTATGGAAAGTGAGCATATTTGCATCCCCATTACTATGTATTTAAATACAGGTATAACTCGGCTCATTGACACTATACAATGAAGGAATCCCATTTGCCCAAACGATTAACCCGTGTCTGGAAAAGTCAGGATATTTTTGCAAAATTGTGTGCCCATGACAATTACAAAATATAATTTTTGTACGAGTGATTTTTTCTAATCGTCCAGGAAATATTGCCTGCAAAAATGCTTCCCTGATGGGTGGCATTTTTTGCTGAATTCCTGGCACAGGATTAACATTAGAGATTCTTCCAAACAATACTGTAGGAAATTCTCCACCCAGATTTTTCCAGATTTTTCAGTGACCTTTGGTCAAACTGAAATGTGCCTCCCCCTGGAAAAAACCTGACTTGATCTTTCATATGATGAAATGGAAACCTTTGCTGTTCTAAGAGTTATAAATATATTTTCAAAATTACCCACAGAAAACCATATTTACTCAAATAACATGTACCCTTGCACAAGACACGTGCCTGGATTTTTTAGGGATTAAAAACAATTACAAATCTGAGTAAGACATGCACCCTATTTTTAGTGGCTCCAAAACTTTCATATTTGAAAAATAAGAACACGCCAATTTGAATTTTGGAATGAATTGAACCTGGATTAAACTATCCTTAAACACTGTAATTAGAGCATTTCCAATATTTTTTTAGAATTGGTCAACAATTTCCGATTACAACGAAATATGATTCACATCTGGGCATATAAAATGCTTAGAAAAATTTAATGAATGGAGACAAAAAAGGAAAACATCTCATAAGTACAAAAAAGGTGGATTTTTTAATTTTACAAATAAAACTGGATCTTTTTGAAATAATCGCCGGTATAAAAAGGATTTCATGTCGTTGCCTTATTAGTGCCGCTTATTTCGCTGATTCAGCATGACTCATGTGATCAAAAATTACGTCATTCTGAAAATTGTTTGAGTACCCGTACTCAGTTCTATCACTCTCTTGTCTTACCTATAAGCATCCAATCATCAGCAAGACCCGGTATTGAAAAAATAATCAACACCTTTTCAATTTCCCAAATTAAAAAAAAAAATAGACCAATCGAAGGATCGCATACGGAGAGGAGAGGAAGAGACGCTCAAGCTTCTGTTACAAACGAGGTGCGAACCTTGTGTGAGATTATTCAAGACTGTGGAGCCTTGGACAAGGACTCAACTTCTCGGATCACGTTTGGCGAACTTTTTCAGGTTAGAACACTTTAAAACTCCTGATTTTGTTTAAATTTGAAACGAGACTCATCCCGAAAGTTTGATTGCCTATGTCAGAGTTTGCTAAATGTCCCAGCAAACAAAACTTTCTATGTGAGGGATCGTACTCGGTAACGTGGAAGGAATTCCGGGTCAGTTAGCAAACACTGACCTCTTGTGAACTAGTGCGAGAAAGTACCTGCGGTTTTGATTAATTGTAAAAAACAGAAACAATAAGAAAACCAATTTTGAAGGAGCAAAAAAGGAAAGGATGGTCTTCAGCGATCGAGGAAAACTATAATTACCGGGGTTTGTTTCCTGGGCAAACAAGATGTGGAACAGCGGAAAGACCGAGCTGTTCCGACGACCCAGATCAGGTCGTGTTCGTCGAAGACCCATTAATTTTCGATTTAAGAGAGAAAAAAAAACTATTGAAATTACTGATCAGAGGTCAAGAAAATGCTATCCTCATTTCATTCTACGGGCCTGCTGTGGGAAACGCCTCATAATTGTCACACGTCTTTCGGAAGTACTTGTTGAACTCTTCCAACTGTTTTACAATCCACGACAGAACATTGTTCCCTCTGAGTGCACAGTACTGACTGTACCACGTTTTCCACTTTTTTAAATCCTAGTACATCAGCTTCGGAAAACAATTCAAGTTGAATTACTGCGTTATAAGCGCTGAAAAATCGGTTCAGTTTTTTTTTTCACCCAGGAGAGCAACTGTTGAAAAGTATTGTCATAAAACTTTGAACCTGTCTAAATCTTCCTCAGAGAGGTTCAAACTTCGCACAAAGGACAACAAAACTCGTGTATTTTCTTATTTTTTGTGGTTATAGGCCNTGCTGATGCGTTGATGAATGATTGTGTGAAAATTCTTATCTATATGTTCTCGGAAGTGAAAAGTGATATACAGTAATACCGAGGGCCGGTGTCGGAACAAAGTTTATCTTTCTGTCACAAAATGAGTAATAAGAACTGGAAGGCGTCTGTCGACAGAGTGAGTCACCATTTGAACAAGCCCTTATTATAGCGAAGAATCTTGAAAAGTAGAAAGCATGAAATTCCGTTTCGAATATAAATAGTGTGTCAACAACAAGGACGGATGGATGAAAATTCTCTGCTTATTCAGCCTTTAAAACTTTCACGGGAAATTATCCACGAAGGATATTTAGATATCTAGGGTAATCAAGTGCAGCCATTTCACCCGAATTTGTATTTATTTCTGAGTCAACAGATGGCTCATGAAAGAGGACCACGGCAGACTGCTTCCTCATTATGCAAATTGGTTATTGCAGGGGCTGAGAGACTGCAAGATGAACGCGGAATTATCCAACAAAGTCGCTCTCTTCAACCAAGTGGCGGACAATCACAAGGAGAAGCAGATGATAAACCCTTTCTCCTCGTGGGATGGCGCTTCTCACCGCCGCAAACTGGACAAATCAGACGCTTCCTATGGAAAGTGAGCATATTTGCATCCCCATTACTATGTATTTAAATACAGGTATAACTCGGCTCATTGACACTATACAATGAAGGAATCCCATTTGCCCAAACGATTAACCCGTGTCTGGAAAAGTCAGGATATTTTTGCAAAATTGTGTGCCCATGACAATTACAAAATATAATTTTTGTACGAGTGATTTTTTCTAATCTTCCAGGAAATGTTACCTGCAAAAATGCTTCCATGATGTATGGCATTTTTTGCTGAATTCCTGGCACAGGATTAACATTAGAGATTCTTCCAAACAATACTGTAGGAAATTCTCCACCCAGATTTTTCCTGAATTAGTCCTTTCCAACCCAAGGTCATTTCAGTGACCTTTGGTCAAACTGAAATGTGCCTCCCCCTGGAAAAAACCTGACTTGATCTTTCATATGATGAAATGGAAACCTTTGCTGTTCTAAGAGTTATAAATATATTTTCAAAATTACCAACAGTAAACCAAATTTACTTAAATACCATGTACCCTTGCACAAGACACGTACCAGGGTTTTCAGTGATGAAAAATTTGCATAACTGAGATAGACATGCGCCCCATTTTTAGTGACTCCAAAACTTCCGTATTTAAAAAAATAAGAACACCCCAATTCGAATTTTGGAATGAATTGAACGTGGATTAAGCTATCCCTCAATAATTAGAGTATTTGTATTAATTTTTTTAGAATTGGTCAAAAATTTCCGATTACAATGAAATATGATTCATATACCTGGGCTTATAAAATGCTTAGAAAAATTTAATGAATGGAGAAAAAAAGAAAAACATCTCATAAGTACAAAAAGGCGAATTTTTCAATTTTACAAATAAAACTGGATCTTTTGAAAAATTCGCCGGTAAAAAAGATAGCATTTCTTTGCCTTATTAGTGCCACTTATTTCGCTGATTCAGCATGACTCATGCGAACAAAAATTACGTCATTTTGAAACATTTTTCGAGTACCCGTACTCAGTTCTATCACTCTCTTGTCTTCCGTACTCAGTTCTATCACTCTCTTGTCTTATCTGAGCATCCATTCATCAGCAAGACCCGGTATTGAAATAGTGATCAACACCTTTTCAATTTCCCAAATTTAAAAAAAATAGACCAATCGAAGGATCGCATACGGAGAGGAGAGGAAGAGACGCTCAAGCTTCTGTTACAAACGAGGTGCGAACCTTGTGTGAGATTATTCAAGACTGTGGAGCCATGGACAAGGACTCGAATTCTCGGATCACGTTTGGCGAACTTTTTCAGGTTAGACCACTTTCAAACTCCTGATTTAGTTCAAATTTTGAAACGAGACTCCTGAAAGTTTGATTGCCTATGTCAGAGTTTGCTAATAGTCCCATCAAACAAAACTTCCTATGTGAGGGATCGTACTCGGTAACGTGGAAGGAATTCCGGGTCAGTTAGCAAACACTGACCTCTTGTGAACTAGTGCGAGAAAGTACCTGCGGTTTTGATTAATTGTAAAAACAGAAACAATAAGAAAACCAATTTTGAAGGAGGAAAAAAAAGGAAAGGATGGTCTTCAGCGATCGAGGAAAACTATAATTACCGGGGTTTTGTTTCCTGGGCAAACAAGATGTGGAACAGCGGAAAGACCGAGCTGTTCCGACGACCCAGATCAGGTCGTGTTCGTCGAAGACCCATTAATTTTCGATTTAAGAGAGAAAAAAAAAACTATTGAAATTACTGATAAGAGGTCAAGAAAATGTATAGGAGTAAAGTAAGATGCCCGGACGACACCCTTTGCGGAGTATTAACAGTGTGCAGAAAGCCTTCATGAACAACTTGAGAAGGTTGACAAAATGTTAGGTGCTGTCTTGTAACAAGGGAGACTCAGCACAGTACTGACTGTACCACGTTTTCCACTTTTTTAAATCCTAGTACATCAGCTTCGGAAAACAATTCAAGTTGAATTACTGCGTTATAAGCGCTGAAAAATCGGTTCAGTTTTTTTTTTCACCCAGGAGAGCAACTGTTGAAAAGTATTGTCATAAAACTTTGAACCTGTCTAAATCTTCCTCAGAGAGGTTCAAACTTCGCACAAAGGACAACAAAACTCGTGTATTTTCTTATTTTTTGTGGTTATAGGCCTCATGTACTGTAGACTGAAAGGTATCAGGCGTGAAAACCAGCATGAAGTCGCCTTCGGTAGAGCTGAGGTGTTGGAATGCGACTTGGACTGAATCCAAAGTCACGCAAAATTTTTCGACGCATGAAACATTTGACGTTTGGCGATCCCTGCAATCGTATTCTTGAACGGGTTCTAGACATGATCAGTTAAGCGCTTTTGAGGCATTCAAGGTCATGTTTTCTGACGATCCAGAAAAATTAACCAAAGCAGTGATAAAAAGGGGTTTGGCGCATATACAAATGCTGAATACCTCGGTCTTGAGTGCTGAACATTTTAAAATTTCAAAATGCAATGGCCTGAAACAGTTAAAAGAGGATTCCTTTTTTTTAATATCGAAAAGAATGCATGTTCAATATCTTGCGAATTTCTTCATGATTTATCTCCTTTTTCCGTTAAATTGAAATTAATTTCGGCACAAACAAGTTTTTTATACTGGAATTGGGAAGTTTGTTTCAACATGTGCTCTATATGTGGACTTCCTAGCTGTCAGGACTTGAAAAAAGTTTGTTGCACTGAATAAATTATTTCAACGAGATTTCACGGTATTCCCAAATTTGCTGTTTTGCGCCAAATTTTCTCGTTCAAACAATAGCATTTACTGTGTCAAAATACGCTAATATACCTGAAAATAAAGAGAAACATGTTTTTTGCGCTCTTCTCAACATTTCTCAAGAAAGCCTGCCTCAAATGTTTTTGAAATATATTTTATTCAAATAAGCGGAGCAGTCATCTGAAAGCACAGAAATGGTTCATCATCTAAAATAATCCAAGATTTGGTTCAGTGTTTTATGGTTTTTATACACAATGTTTCGAAGTTTTCATCATGAGATATTAAAGATTAATTACACCTTTTCAGTCAACTCAGTACACTTCTAAGATATATTTCGACAGTAAACATTTCTCAAGCTGGCTTTCGGACAACCACAATAAATGAATCATGCATCGTGTTTTTTTTCCTTATCTCGAGATATGCGTTGTTATGTATAAAGCATCCGTGTTGTTCACCTCACCTGGGTCTCTGTACTGAATGAAACATGATTACAAGAGGGAACTGAGTGCCAAAAAATAAAAAATAAATACCGCCGTTCACTCTGCTTAAGGAAGCGTCGAAGAGCGACATTCCTGAGCAGGGTTCAGTTTTTTCGATTGACGTCATCGGGAATGTGCGCCGACGACGCGAGAGACACGTGTGGAAAATCTGCGCAGTTTTTCCCACCACGAATTCCGTGCTAAATTTGTCTCCGTGTGTATGACTGATCAAAATAACTCACCCACTGAACGGAAGCATATCCTAAAATGAACCTAGAACATGACTAAGATATATACACCATTAAATAAACAACCCCTTTCAAAAATAAACTCCTTGGCATTTGAAAGCATAATAGTCGAGAAAGGAGAAGGATGCTCTTCATCGCAAAGAAAATATTTTGCGAAAAGGAAAAATTGGTTGACGAATGGTTCTGAAGTTATCCTTATTGCTCTTGTTTATTTCCAGATGTACAATGTTATCTCTGGGAATGTTGTTGGAATTCTTCTACGTGCCAGGAAGAAGGGTTTCGTGGATTTTCCTGGGGAAACATTGTTTCAGGTTGGTTCCGTTGGTAACATTAAAAAAAAATTCAATTTGACGTGCCATTGCGCTTTGAAGAAGTTGGACACTGAATCATCGAAAAATTCTCCGGGCGTCTATTCTATCGTTAAAAATTCCTGACATTCCTTGAGGGTTTGAGTTTTTGTGGAAGATGATTCACTTTCTCAAAATTTAGTGGTGACACGTGCATGAGAACCGAAGGAAAAAACATTTTTAATATCCTTAGAAAACAAATCCTGGTTAGTTTTTTTTTCATTATTATCAAGCGAATAAACAAAAGAGGAATTAAAGATGGGATGTTTTGTTCATAGACTTCATCTTCATCCGTGCAGACGCCACTTCGGTTTATTTAAATTTCTTAAATGCAAGCTTCCACTTCAATTTTAGAGAAGGCCGAAAAATATTTTCAAACTTCTTTCACGCGCCAAAATATAGTCTAATTAGGGATGACCGGATTTTCGCCTTCTCGAACATTTTTGACTTTTTTGACGCGCTTTTTAAAATAAATAACTAATCTATGCGTCAAAAATCCAGAAACCGTGGCCCCCTTTTTAATAACAACGACAAGACACAGTGTTGACAAAATTTGCTTCATTTCTAAAGGAAGATTTACCCTCGTGGAAATGTTATGGATGATTGGTGAGGCATCACTGTGAAACCCTGGCACCGGGCCGCTAACAATACTGTCAACAAACTTCGGGTACTCGGGGACTCGTGCCAAAAATAGTTTTACAATGACATTGAAAACAGAGCGAGAACCGATATGCCCGAGTGCTTTTGCGTAGCTGGGATGTGATTAACAAAGCGGAGAATCGTTAAGAAAACACCCTCAACGCAAAAAAAGGGGTTAAAAATTATGAAATGGTCAACAAATGTGTCGGTGCTCGGAAAATTTTACCAGCAATAATTATTTATTTGAAAAACGTGGAGCACCTCCTTTCTGGGAAAGCATCGTCGTTTTAGATGTACTATTTTATTAAATTTAACGACAGGTTTTGTTTTCCCACCTTTTCGCATGAAGAATATCTGTCTCTCGTCGGGATTTATTCAAGAATTGAAACAAATCTTTTTCGGGTCTTTCAAAAGTGTTCCAGTTTTGAATTTATCCTCTGAAACAATTGATTCGTTACCATCAATATTTCATAAAACCCTTCCCATTGAGCAAAAATTACAGCAAAATCAAGATCACGGTCAATTTTTCCGTCTGAACGAATCTGAGCGAGGTTATTTTGACTTCTGCGAAAATATTTTTTACATATCCTCGTCATTCGCAGAAATTTATGAGCTTATTGAAACCTGTTTCGCGCATTTGAAAACCAAGACTGATTCATTTTATATCTTCTTTATTTTATTTTTGCAGAGGAGAGACGATAACGTTGCAATTCATCTCATGAAACCATTGGAAGAAATAAAGGAAATCTTGGCTGGAAGGCCACCCAATGGAAGCTCATGACTTGTTTTTGTTTTTTTCTCGTCACTGTTTGCTACTTTTTTCTCTCCGAATTGGCTGTGATAAAACCTCGGAAGCCTACAATGAACCGAAATTTCGAAACGCAGTTTGAAATTTTTAGGTTTTTAGCAGCGTTTGTGTTCCAGCAATTGTGTGAAAATACGGTGCAGAATTGAGGGAAGAAAAATGGTTTGTTGTTCGGACGATTTTCGAAAGAATTTTTTTAATTTTCCCTGGTTCATTCGCGTCTTTTTGAAAAATTGTATGCCTCATTCCTGTCTTTATTATGCCGGTGTTTTTGTTTGCATGATGTAGCTTTACGATACAACTGTTGGTGGAAGCAATGAAAACGAGTGACAAACCTTTAGAAGCTTTTTCTCGATTTTTTTACTATCGCCAATTCACGTTTCAAATACTGTACATTGGTTAATTGCAATACTTTATCCTACTTTTTACACTAGTAGTATTTACCCTGTCCCTCTGGATCGCTTTGCGGTCAAACATTCGCGAAGAACGATGGCTTTTGCGACGTCAATTCAGGTTTCTCAATTTGTTTTAATGATTTTTGAGGTTGTTCGCGAGTTTCGAGTGAATTTTCAATCCAAGGGTGTGAAGAATGCAGTTCGAAGATCATTGCGAAAGTCCAATTTTCGAAGTAGACCGGGATTTTTGACTGCGGAATTGCTCGACTTCCGCCAAGCGATTCAAGCGGCTCGAGCGGAACTGCTTGAAACTCCTCCGGCCAAGGGTATAACGCTGCGTCGAGATGTCGCTGGTAGTTTCGCAGCCGCGCTTCCCGGGACAAGTGTTGGAGCTGCGCTGATTCCTTTCGGCAGCACGTACGACTCGGCTCAGGAACATTTGTTCGAGATGTTTTATTGGGACTCTCTCGAACGACAATTCTTCTGATCTCGACCCTGAACCGTCTTTATCTTTGATTTTCGTCGTTATTAAAGTGAATGGAACGAATTCATGCGCAATACGGGATCTCACCCCGAAAGATTGACAGACGTTTTCCTTAACAAATCGAATTCAATTATATTTCAGACACAATGGTAACTGGCAAAATGAAAATGTCTCCCCGAATTTTGAAGATTGACAAAATTCTTCATCGTTTGGGAACTCAAACACATCTCATTCTCACGTTGTATGACATCTATAGTAGATTATTCAAATTCATCATAGGAAGATTTCTACGAAACGATTGTCCAGACATGTCGTGCGATGACTAGATTGAAAGGATTTTTGCTCGCGTCCGTAAAACTTCTCAGTCCTTAATGACCGATCTTGAAACAAACGACAAGTTTTTCATATTTCAACACTTTCGCTCGAAATCAAATGTCTTCGAGATCGAGTCAATTAGATCAGCTTAGAATTTTTGGAAATATAAATTTTAAAGGGCTATTCACGCACTATTAGACCCAAAAGAAGCTGCATACGGTATTTTGAAAATTTGTGAATGCTTAGTCTATCAAATGTCTTCCAAGAATGATAATTGGAGGGAGTGAAATTAAGAATTGAGACATGGGGAAATTTTCGGCATACTTCCTAAAAAAAATTTTTTTGGCGCCTGGTATAGGCAAAACAAAATCCTTTTAAAATATGCAGAGAATTTATCACAATGAACCGGTTGCTGTACTAATTCAAAAACAATTTCAATAAGTCGTTTTCCAGTGGATGCAACACTTACTTGTATTCTTTAGCTGTACCTTAGATTTTATACTGTACTTAGTTATACAACCAAATCATTACATGCCGCAGGGATCTTCTCAATTGGCAGTTATAATGACTCTTTGAGTCCTTTAACTTCTCGTCACTCACAGAAAACTTTTCAGCAGCTTTTTTTTTTTTTTACTGATAAACACAAATTTCAAAACGACGCTTCCTAAACCTATCTAAAGGGTGCCACATTTTTTCCGCCATCTCTTTGATTTTGCACAACATGCCACAAGAATTTTTTCCCCATTGGCAGACACAGTATCATGACTCTTAAAGTCTTTAAACTTCTATTTTGCACGCACAAAAAATTCCGGTTTCGTTCAGAAGCACATCTTTTATGGTTTTCTGGACGATCGCGTGATTTCATTATGGAAGTACTGTATATGCTTTCATATAATTTTCCTTTTCATTGTGATACATTTCCTCATCGAATTTGTAACATACTGTACTCTAGATTTGCTTTATGCGGCTCAAATAGTGCGTGAACACTTCCTGTAACAAAATGGAATGCTTCGGAGGCGATATGAGCTCCCAACAGTTGGTGCTGCCTCTTTTATGGTGGGGGGGGGGGGAATGTTTCAATTGTGTTCTGGTCAGGATACGCAGCAAATTTTGTCCTTGCTTTTCTTGCCCTTGGATTTGCTGCCTGAAGGTGTCTTGTTTTTTCCGTTTGTTGCGGATTGCTGCTTGGGTTGAAGGTTACACGCTGTCGACGTCGAGGATGCTTTCAGAGTGTCATCGTCGCCTCCGTCAGCGTTAATGGGATTTCGAGCTCGGTCCTGATGGGAACTCTGAGGTTTCTTGGTAAGATTGACCTCGAGGCGAGGAACACAAGACCCGGCTTTGGGTTTAGAGCCCTGGTGTTGAGTGTCGGGGTCAACATGCTCTACGGTGAGCGTGGGGCACTGCATGGGCTTGCAGCCCGCTGCACTGCGAAGAAAAGGTTGCTACTTGTTATGAGATGTCAAAAGGGTCAACAATGTCAGAAACCAGCAGGTAAATCCCTGTGCTTTTTACTAAAGATCTACTGACTGACAAAATGATGTAAGTAACTCGAAGATAACATTCCTGTGAAAAAGGTCAAATTTCACAGCATGCAGTTGCGACATCTAGTCACAAATTACTAAGCGCGTTTATTTTGCTTTCTTTTTAAAATCTAGGGGCCACTTGTCATGGAATAAACGACGGGAATACTGTAATACAGCGCGGGAACCCCGACATACGGACGAATCAACTCAGCGAAACTTGAAGCCTGAAAAATCTGCTTCCACATTCGGACAATGTCACGAGATACGAGCACATTTCCAACATATCTTGAAAATTAGAAATTTTTTATTCTCTGCATTTTGATATCTCTCGAACAATTGGAGCTATTTTTATTTTCAAAAAAAAAAATTCGTTTTCAAAATAATCTTATTCACGATCAAAATAAGTGAAATTTTACTCTTTTTTCAAAGAATTTTTATCGTGTGTGTACAGTATAGCTAGACTGTTCTGCTACATTACTCGGCTTTTTGAGCTCCTTATTCTGATGCCAAAAGATCAGATTCCCCGATGTTTTCTTTTTCTGCACAGTTATTCACTGTACATTGAAGCTAAACGAATTATTCATTTTTTGGGGACTTTATTTCAAATTTTTGAAATGGCGAACGTGATCCAACATAGTGATGTTCTAACTAATCTAATATATATAGGGACATGAGCGATGCGTCCAAAAGTCTGCATTTCGGGGCCACAATGTATGTTCAGCCTTCAGAGGAAAGAGAGGAATTTCCTACGCTCAAGATAGCAAAGAGTAGAATAATAAGCACTGTTCCATGTTTCTGATGAGAGAGTCGATCTAGCGGTTTCAAGAGTGCTCCATTTTCAAGTCTGTATAAAAAACATAATAATTCAACATTTTTAAAATTCAGCAATAAAATACCTCAAATTTTCGGAAGGAAATTTTGCAGAATTGAATTCTTGCATGAAATAGGAAACTATAGGTTTTTGTCGAGTCACTGTTACACTAGAATCTTGGGCACCAAAAAATCTCAGGTGCAAGTTTCCTAGATTTTCATCACTGAATAAAGCATTCCGTTGACAAAAGTAGATATACCTCAAGATCCATCAGTTGGATCAATGTTCATGTTATCACAAAAAATATAGTAACCATCCTTAACTTCCGTTTAAGACCATTTTCGATTTTTTAATCCTAAAATTCAATGAAATATGCACGTTCGTATTTCGCAATGCCAGCGATTTCGTCATGAATTCCAGAAAGTTTTCTTTGGTGCAACAAGTAAATTTGCAAATTTCCCTGCTTTCCGCGGTTCTGTCCCCATTTTCGAGCAGCAGGTGGACCTTCCCACGACAGAGTGTATATATATATATATATATATATACAGACGATCGTTTCAGTACCTCGCAAAATCTTATATTCAGCAAGGGAACATTACACGGCCAGACTCGGACCACTCCGGCTAATCAAACTACTCCTGAGCGTCGCCTCGAAAGCAATTTAATCCCTATATTCTCCCGAAAAAAATTGAAGAGTAATAAAAATACTGTGCTAATACGTGTACTGCATGAAAAAAAAAATGACCAGCGGAAAGAGGCTTACGTGAGTGACGCGGTAGGAGTAGACGCAGGTGCCGGAGGCATGTGCTGCAAGTCCTGGTCACTGGACTTGCGTGAACGCGAGCTGCCCCTGTCCGAGGACATCCCGGAAGACCGTCTCCGCTCCTAGATAAAAAAGAAAAGAATACATAAATAAATAAAATAGGACCCTGGGTGTCGTTGAGGAAGAAATGTGTGTCTGTATAAAGCACAGCCTGGGGAGATATGTACAGCACTCAAAGACCGTAAATACTCATTTCCCTCTCTCTGTATATCCTTGTGTGCGAGAGAGAGATGTGAAGTGTCGTCCACGTCGATGCATTTTGCTATGCTTTTCTGCGGAATATCCCGCCAAGAAGAGAGACAAATTGCGGTGGTTTTTTCATCAAATTGCGACACTTATAATGCTGCTCGCATCTTGCGTGTCTGGGATTCTAAAATTTTTTTTTCGTGCACGCGGCGTTTTTGAAATCATTATCAATATTACTATTATTCAAACATTTCGGCCACTGATAACATTCGGACGAAAGTATATATGTGACGCATGTAAGTGAGAATTTTATTTTTCGGCGTCTCTAGCGAATAAAGATGAATAAACTGAGGGTTAAATGACATAGAAGAATGATCAATTTTTGCAGATTTATTCACATTGACAACAATACGATAACAAACAAATTACCGTATACTTTCGAATTTTTTTTTACTTCATTCTCGAACAGCCAGATTTAAAATACGATTTTTACGTGTTCCTTCTTTAGTTTAAATCATGATCGGAGCTTCATCCTCATTATTGTCGCGCATATTTTTGCAGCAATTGATAGTTACTGACGATGCGCGTGGCTTCTAACATTTTTGGGAAGGTATACCGAATCTACACATATTATCATCATTTTTACGCGATCAATGTAAGAAGCCATCGATTCTGATTTTTTTTCTCAAAGTCGAAGTTGGGAAAGGGTGCGTTTTTATTTGCAGAATACTGTACTGTACCCTCCAAAAAGGATTAGTCATATAGATGGAACCTGCAATGAGAAAGTTTCATCGATATTCCCAAGGGTTGCTAATAGTGAAATTTAATTTGAACCATGGTTCGTCTCAGGTAGAATTTCAAGTGGACATTTTACAAAGCTATCGATTTGAAGTGACTTTGGGACACACTACAGTAATCGGAATTAAAGCCAACTTTCAGATTCCCTTCTTTTGGCATTAATATGAAGCTCTTACAACCCTAAAGTTTTAGAGAAGCGTTAACCGGGGTACTTGTTAATACTTTAATACGGACTATATAAAAAGAAAGTCGTATTTTTGTAGTATACCTTTCGTTATGACATGAGGAACATCGTCAGTGGCGATGAAAAAATATACTAGAAAAGCTACATTGGCCAACGGTGAGTAATGTATACACGAAGAGACAAAAATGACATTTCCGCAAATTTTATCAAAGCGATGCGAATAATTGTCTCATTTTCCGTGCGATTTGGACACGCACCATTTACCTCCCAACGACAGTCCAACTTCGGAGGTAGAAGAGAGTCCATATAAGAACGGGAACTTCTTTTATAAAGGCCAGAAAAGCACGGCATTATCGGAGCCATGGGTATGCGAATAAGAACTCATCATAAATCTAGTAAATCGCATGAGCTTCTTTTCACGCTGCATCGCACGAGACGCTTAGCCCAGAAGAACCCAATGGGAAGAAAACGAGGGAATAAGCAGGAAGCCGGAAGTTTGCTCCAGCGACCCGCCACAGCCTATTCCCTCTATAGCATCCCAAGAACACAGCGCGGGAAGTTTGAAAGAAATATAAAAAATCATGACCAAAAAAAAAAAGAAGGAAAGTTGTTGAGAAAGAAAAGTGGGTGTATAGTAATTACTCACGAGGTCCACGGAGATGGCCGTCAGGCTAACTTGGCTTGATCGCGTCGACCGGATCGAGTGTCTCGGCACGAGGTAAACTTTCTCCATCTCGATCAAGGGAGGAATTAAGTTAATTAGTGAGCCAGATTAGTTCAGCAGCTTACGCAGATGTAGCTAGTGTAAAATGTATACAAAAGGGAGGCGCAATAGCTTAATTTGATGCGAAAAGGTGTGGGCATATAGCGTATACAGGTTACAACAGCAACCGTGTGTTTTGGACACACGTGAACTATTCTACTTGGGTGGACGATCGATTTGATCAAACTTCCTCAAATATACTTTGTAGTATAACTCAATTTAAAACCAAGCTCCGTCAATTTTGTAGGATATGGATAATAAAATATAACTGTATTCAAGCAAATTAGTACTGTACACAAAATAGCATGAACTTTGATCAAGGAACACGGACAATTTTCACTGAAAAAGTACTGAACGGTTTCTGTCACCAACAAATACATGTAAATTGAATTCAGCTGCTGATGGTTCTTTATCGATTTCACCTTTATAGCTCCAATTTCATCATCACAATCGCCAAAACAGTTTCAAGAGCCAAAAAATACCTGGTTCTTGAACCGTAAATTCCCAACTGTTCAGGTTACTTTTAGTTGGCTTGGGATAAAAAAGTTTGTTTCCTTATCTCACTCTTTCCATTATTGAGAATGATGCCAATAAATGGAGTTCAGATTGAACGTTGACTTGTGAAATTTATTCTCGAAATGAAAAAAAGAATAATGAAAAACTTTTTTTTCTTTTGGCACGCACATTCATCCCATAAGAGCATCAGGTATTAAGTTTATACAGCTAATAATTCACGCCTTCCTAAGTTGATTACTTATTTCGAATATTTTTAAAGTCCCAGTCTGAATCCCTCCAGAAAGTATGCATTAAAAACCTTCTTAATTCAAAGTCTTTCCCCGCCTCGAACCTCCAGCATTAGTCGAATTTTCTCTTTGCCTTTTGGTTATTTTTTTGACACAGGAAAGTGAGAAGCGATACAAATTCAAATTGATGCGCTTCGAAAACAAGTGAGAGACTAATTTGGCAAATGAACCATTCTTTCCAACAAGTTCAGCAGACCGTCAACTAATTTAAAGAGCGCATTGTTTCGCGGAATACTGCATTACAAATAACAATTTTCTGAAGTGCGTCACTACTCACTACACAGGACAAAAAGGTTTGTTTTCCTCGAAACCTCCACAATTCGATTTTTTTTTGCTGGGCCCTTGAAGTTTGATTCATCAAAGAGTTTTGGACTGTATATTTTAATCTATGGTGCCTTCTGTAAATCTCTGCATCAATAAAAAATAGAAACAACTTATACAGCCAGACGTGGTAATTTTAATTCTTGGTACAACCATGGTGTCGTCCTTGATAGATTAGGAGGTTCTGCGGTACGTCTAATTGAAAAAGAACGTCTAAGGTTTCTAGCATTCCTTGCCCCAAAGGCCTTCGATCTTTCTACTACTTCGCCTTCTTTGAGTGGTTGATTCGTCATGGCGTCGTGCAATGACGTCGAGTTAATCCAGGTCAGGCCCATTTCAACCTGCTCGGCCATTTTCTGCCATATGCTGCGGTTCTCGTAACAGCCGTCATAAAGCGGCTTCAGCCAAGGGAACGAGTCACTCAGAGCCTGCATTTAGCCATCAAGAATTGAAAAGGAGGCACAAAAAAAAGGTCACACACACTCAGGCATGTTGGCAATCATGGAATATGAAGGTCATTCCTCGGGTCATTCCATATAATTTTATACTGACCTTATACAAAGGAAGACAAATGTTGTCGATGAAGTTCACTTGCATTTTGGGCAGCTCGTCTTTCTTCTCGCGATCCATCATCGCCTGCATTATTCACGGTAATATTAGGCCTCTCGTAATTATCGGATTATCGCTCTGATGGGAAAATTGCGGTATTTATCTTTTGGTGGTTTTGTTTTTCTTTATGTGCCCCTCGTATTTTACATATTGATCCAGGCTAGCGCTTGAAGTAGTAGACTTACGATGGGCTCCTGGTTGAGCTGAAGGCGTTCGATATCTCCCTGTTCAAAGAACTCATCAGCAACGAGTCTTGCTGTTCTTTGCTGGATTTCCCAGGGCTTTGAAATTGCTGCAACATCGCTGGCAGTCATCAACATCCCACAGAGAACTGCCAACACATGCATGAAACACATTATTAGGATTTTTTCCATCTTGATGATTCGCCCGAAATGCTGCAGATTCTTTTAAATTTTATCTTTATTAAGATGTTCACTATTTCCTAGAAAAATGCGAGCTATATACACAATTTCCGGGAGAATCTTCTGGAGATAATGAAATGATTCTTAAATAACCACAGTAAACCGCAAGACAATATGAATTCTTAGTGAAAACGGTAGAAGATTGAATCACCAGTCAAGGCAAAATTATTAGGAAAATTAGATCCTTTTTTTCGCAAGCTATTATTCGAGCGGTTTCGAAATCATTCGAAGTATAATTGCATGCTTATTTTCGCAAAAGTTTCAACTGTGTTTCAGTTTTCTTAAAAAAAGAATTCGTTTCTTTATGGAATCCTGTTGAATTAGATCCCCATATCGATCTATATGTGTAGCTCTTATGTCAAACTCTGTTTGAATCATGTATAACGTCGATTTATTCATGAATTTTCCACATTAATGGAAAAGTGATGACTTTCTTGCTAAGCAAAGAAAATTCCCGTTGTGCTTTCTAGCGAAAAAAAAGTGGATGAGATTGATCAGAAATCAGACTCACGGTCCTTCTTATCATCTTCTTGCCAGTCCCATTCGCCGCGGTCAACCATGTCTAGAAACAGGGTTCTTTTGCGGTAATACGTTGCCAAATCTGTGGCCAGAATCGCAGACTCGATATGTTTGATTATCTTTCGGTACGTATCCGGGGAAACTGCCTGGAAATATACCAGAGCACATTCAATTCAATGCTTGAAAGCATTTTGTGATACATTATAAAATGAACCGAGTGAACTTTCAATATCCCCTTAAAATCACAGAAATTCGCGAATAAACTTGAAAATATTGACAGGAAACGTGAGCGAATAACAGATAATTTCTCGATGCATCAAAATCAAGTAAAGGAACTGATGTGACTATAGCCCAGAATCTTTTATGATCTTTTTCCCTCCTTAATTCAATTAATCACTCGGTCTAATCAAGTCGTCGAATGCGTCTACATCGATCACATTTTACATATGTTTTCCCTCCGC